CGGCTCCAGCGATCCTTCCACCTCAGCCTTCCAAGTAGCTGGAACTACAGGCGCGCACTACCACGCCCAGCTAATTTTTTGATTTATTGTAGAGATGAGGGCTTGCCAAGTTGCCCAGGCGGGTCTCGAACCCACGGGCTCAGGCAATCCACTCACCTCAGCCTCCCAAAGCGCGGGATTACAGGCTAAGCCGCCGAGCGGCTCTCTCTGACAAACTTTAAACAACATTTAAATAGTAGTCTGTTTATGTTTTTTGGGATGTTGGATTGTGGTTTCTCTCTAATGTTAATACTGGACCAAGGTAGCCATTTTATATTCAGGTTTCCTAAGGACTGTATATGAGATTACAACACCGGCGTCCATGCCTGCATTTCCTTAATACTTCTTATTTGCATAATATCTGGAAAGTACCTTCACATATACCATCTTACCTTATCTTCACAACAGTCCTGACCTAGATACTTAGGTCTTATTATTTGAAATCACAGGTAAATAAATGGAAACTGAGAAGCGATAAATTACTTGCCCAAGGTGACAGAGCTAGAGGGGGCAGCACTAGAGTTAAAATACATTTTTAGTGGCCCAAGATCCCATTCGTTCAACAAGTCAAAGAAGTGCCTACTAGGTGCCAGTGAATGTTAGCGGCTAATGAATAGACACAAATTGTTCTTGTGCTCATAGAGTTTATATTCTAGCAGAGAATGATAAACAAGTACTCTTACCAAGCAGATAAATGGGGGAGGGGAGCAGAATCTGGTCAAGGGAGTCATAGACCAGTGGCGAAGAAGACTTAATCTAGGCTAAGATCATAGGGCCAGGCAAATTTCCATCAGAATTAACTTTTAAATAGAAAGAGAAGTGCTCCAAGCAAAGCAAACAGCTTAGGCGAAGGCCATAAAGCGAGTGAGATCATGGGACAGTCAAGGAATCAAAAGGAGTTCAGTGTGGCTGGATCCTAAGGTATAAGGGAGAAAAGAGCAAGAAAGCAAGCTAGAGTCTTGTGAAGTTGCCAAAAGACATGGGACCTTAAAAATATTTATAAGTTACAGGGTGACATTGAAGGGCTTTAAGTAAGGTTGTGACATGATCAGACTTAAGTGATGGCCTCATAGTCATGTACGCAGAAAATGATATATGTTCAGAGTTATTCAGTACGGCATTATTTGTAATAATAACAGATTAAAAACAAACCAAATGCCCAACAATAGGACAGGAATGAAATAAGTTATGGCTTATCTATGCAATGAAATCGCATTCTGAAAACAAGAATGACATTCTTCTTCCAGCCTAGGCAATATAGCAAGAACAGAAAATCAAAAAATTAGCCAGGTATGGTGGCATGTGCCTGTAATCCCAGGAGGCTGGGGCAGGAGGATCGCTTGAGCCCAAGAGGTTGAGGCTAGGCTGAGATGTGATCATACTACTGCACTCCAGCCTGGGTGACAGAGTGAGACCCCAACTCAAAAAAAGAAAGAATGACATTCTTTGTTTGTTTGTTTTTTTAAGTTGGAGTCTCACTCCGTCGCCCAGACTGGAGTGCAGTGGCCGCTCCTGGCCACCACAGCCTCGACCTGCTGGGCTCTGGCGATCCTTCCGCCTCAGCCTTCCAAGTAGCTGGAACTACAGTCACACACTACCACACCCGGCTAAATTTTGGATTTATTGTAGAGATGAGGTTTCGCCAAGTTGCCCAGGTGGGTCTCGAACCCGCGGGCTCAGGCAATCCACTCACCTCAGCCTCCCAAGGCACGGGATTACAGGCTGAGCCACCGAGCCCGGCAGAATGACATTCTTTATATTCAGATCTGAAATGATGTCCAAGATATATTATTTTGGTTTTAAAAAAAGGTTGCAAAAAATATTTATAGTTTGTTACCAATTGTGTTAAAAAGAAAATGAAGCCGGGTTCGGTGGCTCATGAGGGAGGGAGGAACAGAAAAGAGTTAAAGATGAGTTATCCATCAGTAATGAGTTGCCAATACCAACAGTGGTTACCAATCACTGAATTCTGACAAAGGAAGGAAAAACAAGTTTAGGGAATAGGGAGATGAAGAGTTCAGTTTTGGCATGCTGATGTCCAACATGTATATTCTCACTGGTTATGCCACAAATGCAAGGCTCTGACCATTTTTCAGAATTACATGGCAGTGAGCAACCTCAAAGGATGTGGCGATGTCTCCCTCCAGGAAAAAGAGCAGGCTTGCTTATTCTCACTATAAAAGCAGTAGATTCCCCAAGCTCAGTGTTCCTTTTCTGTAATGGCACCCATTACCTGTGCAGGCATCCATCTGGGTCCACCGCCATGAAAACGTGAGGGCCAGAGTAACTGTCACCCACAAGCTGTCGCTCATGCTACCTGCTATGCAGAAAATAATGAAGTCCTTTGCCATTGACCTAGGAGTCTCATGTCTTCTGTCAACATCCATGAATCAGTAACAGGCTAACTTATTAGCTTACAAGTTGGGTGAAGTAAAACTGCAGACTTAATATTGCAGTTGGGTGAAGTGCAGGAGAAAGATCTGGGCTGGAGACACAGATCTGATAATGTAGCCACAGGAAGAGAAGAGCGAAGAGCTCCTTTAAGAAGAGTGTATTGGCTGGGAAAGAGTGAAGAACTCCGCGGAGTGCCCACATT